GACGACGACGACGATGGTGGTGGTGGTGGTGGGCGTATCAGATAAGTACTTTCACCGTACTGCTTCCCATTTGCGGACTTCTGCATCAGCTTCCAGCAAAAGTGTCATACTGCGGCCTGAAAATCTTTCCACCATGACTTTTCGTGAACATGGAACCTCGCTGTTGTCCATTACAGAGCTTCGAATAACCACGGACAGAGTGCAAAATCTGATGATTGGTGCCCACATATTGCAGCTGGATGAAGTGCTCGTAGATGGCGGTCAATTTCTAATCGAGCGCCTGCATCCAACCAACTGGGTGGACATTCTTCGGTTTGCAGACTTGCTCAAGAATGAAAAGTTGGTGGAAGCATGCAAAAGCTTTTCCAAAGATCACCTGAAGTGAGTCATTGTCTGCTTTCTTGGAATGATTTACAACTTTGTCTACTTAACAGAAGCACAAGTAGTTTGTACGTAAATGAACAGTTTTGCTGCAACCATAAATTCTTGACTACCACAAAACAAATCAAAGATCCTCAATTTTCTAACGATAATCAACTGTCAGATGCTTAGCATCACTTTTACGTGTCCACGTCCCCAAAATTGGATAACTCGGCGTCCAGTGTTCCCGAATCCGAGGTTATTTCTCTGAAATACCTAATATAGTGGGGTTTTGGCGAGATACATTCATTTGAATGCCAGTTTGTTTTTGACGCAAGAGTTAGCTGGAACCAAGCTGAATCTCTCGCAAATGATTCTTCCAACCAACGGGATGTGTTGCACCAGGCCGCCTCATGTTCCAGTTGGTACGATATTCCAGCTATAACGATACATGTATGGGCGTAATACGCTACTCACAAAGTTGTTGAAAACTCTTCAACAGCTAAGAAGCGGTCTTGCCTGAAAACCAACTGAATTTCTCGTTCATGTGTCGTTTAACCTGATCCTCCTCCTCCTCATCATCATCCGAATCATCTTCATCATCATCATCCTTATCCTCATCATCCTCATCATCACCATCATCATCGTCATCATCATCATCATCAAAGAAAGCAGCATCAGTGTTGCCACTAATGCTCGACTGCCGTACACACAGACCAACGAAATGTACCAGTGGCACTCCAGGTGAATCATCAATTGAAGCACGTTGAATTGGAAGATTGAGGAACCTAACCAAAACCCATCAACCGCAAGAGTTCAGCAACTCGACCAATTGACAGTCAACATTCATAACTGATCTGGCGTGCTAATCTGTCGCTTTGCTTCCGACCTAAAAGCCTCATTGGGCCAAATGTATAGATCCCAAAATGACCAGGCTTTAAGGAAGACGGAAAACCAGATAAGCCTCCAGATCACTTGTCAAGTTATCGAAATATGGGTAGTTCTGATGTGTTTATTGGTGGTTGATCAGATGGCAGTTGATCTGTTCTGTTGCCAAGCTCGGCGAACAGATCAACTGCCAACTGATCAACCACGAATGCCAGATAAGTGTTGAATGTCATCTCAACTCATCTAAAACCGTTCTCCATGCGCTTGCAAGTTCTACGCCGTCTATCCTATTTACACAAAGGTGTTTGGCGATTTCCTCCCACCTTGATCATCATTCTCAGTAACGTTAGCCATAGTTCCCGCCTCAACACTTCAACGTTCCCTAAATCTGTTTTCTGTCCCGTGTTCAGTGAATGCTCAGTCATGGTTCAGTTTTTCAGTGAGGATTGATGTTATTCTGCATTGCTTGGAAGTCTATCTGTTCCCCCCCACGTGCTTCTATTCTGGTGTGAAGTCCCCTGGCCACCGGTCTTCTATGGACCTTAGTGCATCTGTTAGATTTAACTTTGTAGACATTGTCTATTATTCTATAGACCTGGAGGCGATCCTTCAATTGCACCAACACACGGAGCAAAGTGTTATCTTTCTGGAAGCTACTATTTTAGCCTTCTCTTGAATCCCTCGAATGATCTCCAATGTCCCTGGTTTATATGGAACAACAGCGGTTCCTATCCATTCCCTGTTGGGATTTGCTACCGGTTGAACGGTGGATACTACTAATAAATCATGCGAGTAGTATATGGTTTTCTCATAGGTCCGCTTCGCGTCTATTGAAAAGTGATATTTATTATGGAATTTGTGAATAGTCAATTTGAGTGATAGTTAATGAGTATCCAGGAGAGTTCAGGAAGACGTGTTCGAGAAGAAGGCGAATACTCAATTTTTATAAACAAGATGCATACGAGAGTTTTTCTGCCCTGTCCAATAGACTGTAACTGTTCAGTTGGTGTTTTCCGATAAATAACTTCCCCTCACGGTGGCAACATACTTCGCAATTGACGCCCAGGTTCTTCCGTACACAGAGCCATTACACGCCCAAACACTGATGAGGCAGTCAGTACTGGCGAATACCGACTTCGGATGGGCAGACAAGTAATTCAAAACTACCCCAGTGTCGGTTGGCATCTCGTACACTGTGGCCTTTAGTTTCCCCCGACTCTATGTGTCGTGCAGTCTAAGAAGGCCAGTGTACCCGAAGTTGACTCTATCTTCATACTAAAGTTGATGTATGGACTCAGTTCATTGAGATGGTTGTAAATCGCACTAACCTTGTCTCCTTTCATCACGACAAAAGTGTGTCATCTACATACCGCCAGAATATCTTGGGTGGGTATGGGAATCCGGCTAAAACTCTCTGTTCAAATTCTTCCATAAAATATTTGCGAAAACCAAGGACCATGTTATTGAGTGCAGACCTGTTTTTGTACATGTTTTTATGCTCCTATTAAATGAACTGACAAAACCTTTTAACTGACATAATGGTTGATCTAGTGTTCTGATCTGAAGTGCTCTCACAGACTGGTTCTCCTTCTACTTTAAGTGTTGGCCAAATTGGTGTCCTGCTCCCTTGGCCCCACGAGGCATTTGTGTCAAAAGCGAAACGCTGTCCAATTAAAAACTACCGATTGTTTACCGAACCCTTCTGAAACCAAACACGAGTTTACCTGGCTCACGGCAACACATCGGAGTGTGGGTAAATCGTGAGAAACTCACCTGAGTTGTTTTGAAAGCAGCGGGAAAAGACAAGAAAGCTGAACGGCCATTACTCGGTCTTCTGAGTGATCTTGTTGTAACGTTGACAAGTCTTCTCTGCTACACGTGTTCCGTAGTTGTCCGTGGAGACTTACAGAGCTCGGTTGACTTCCTGTCCCGTTTGTGTGTATGTGTGTGGGGAGGCCGAGTTGTATGCCTAATTATTGTGTGCAGTGTGTGTGTGTGTCCATTCTGATTTGACAACTGCACGACAGCGAATACAACTTGACCTGATGTGGTCGAAGTTCGTAATCCTGGCGCGTGACGCAGGTGGTAGCCGCGTAAACAAAAATGGATGGGAAATTGTAGCGTACATGGCCAAGGTTACGAGCGGAACGGGGGTGTGTCACGTGATTTGAGTGTTTGTGACGCGTGATCTAGCCAATACAGTCTCCTTTATTCTATAGTTTGCATGAATTTCGGTTGCTTTTCCACAGCGAAGTGCTCGAAGAAGGTGAACAACTCGGTATGCTCAACTTGGAACAATTCACTGAACTCATATCGACCCCAAACATTTCTGAAGAGCAACGTTTCAATGCGATTCGGTCCTGGGTCTCCTGTGATCCGACCAATCGAGAACAATCGGCTCCGGAACTGTGCAAATTCGTTCACATACCGGGACTACCACGAAATTGTCTTCAGCAGTTGTACGATACAAAGGAACAATGGAAAAACACATCGTGGTTGAGTGAATTTCTGTTGGAAGCTCTTAACAGCCCTGTGATTGGTCAATCCAAACGAACCACGTACCAGCCGTTCTCAAGTGGCAAGGAGGTGAGTGTTAATATGGGGTCATCCCACCACTTTTTCATGCTAGAAACTACTACTGATTAAAAGATGTTATGACGTGGATACGCGTACTGATGAACTTCCATCATCCATATTGCCAAAACGCATAGTCGCAAGTTCTGCAAATATTGAACTATCTCTCGCTAAGAATGGATGAGCGCTCTTCAGTTGCCACGATCAAATTCCACAGGTGGTATCCAAGGTTTACCACGGTTTTCAGTCGTTTTATTCGTTGGTCTTCTTGGGTGCGTCGTTGAAATTCATCAGAAAATATCAAACATCTAAAATCCCACACATTTTGTGCCTACATACTACTAAAATGACTGTGCCTGGGGGAGATTGGCTAAACGATGCTTACAAGCCCGACCGTTCATATGAACCAGGAATCAGAACCATTGGGAACTCAAGCGTCCGTTGCGCCACCTGACTGGGAATTCATGACAGGTAGGTCAGTCGTTCGACACAACCAGGGACAACTTAATCACACCGTTCAAGCGTGAATATATTTGCCCATTCAGTCGTGGAAATTCGGATTTGTTCAGCGTACGCAGGCGGAGTAGTGATAACACTTTTACCCTGAGAACGTAGGAAAAAGGGACGACTGTTCAAAGATTTTGGTGTGACCGTATTCATTCAAAATGCCTTACTCTGAAGTTATTAGAGCGCGAATTTACTGATCCGAAGGTTCATGGTTCGAACCCGACCTGTACCTCTCGACTTCCCCTGCCTAGGCTCGGACAACCTGGCAGTATCCCAGCCCTCGTGCATCATTTGGGAGGCATAACAGATAGGCACCGAAAGGGTCTTATAGCTGAATGATTATGATTATCTATCTGAAGCAAACATACAGACAAGCATACTAAAAGACTTTCAGTGTTTGACCATCGATGTTTTCGGAGCATTGCCCGAATCTGGTAGGAACACAGGATCAGCAATTCTGAAGTACGTCGAATGGTATTCGGGAGAAATAACTCACCCTCGATAGATGAACTGATCACACAGCATAGGTTTCGGTGGTTTGGTCAAGTGCTGCGAATGTCAGTCGACCGACTTCCTCGAGGGGCTCTTTTCGGCTAACCATGTGAAGGGTGGAAGAGAGCCAGAGGCGGTCAAACAATGACTTGGCAGCAAATTATGAAAGCCATTACCAGCAAACTCAGCTGCGCTGGTCACTGCCGTTTTCCTGGATGGGGACCCCGAGATGGACCACATCAATGGCTAGAGACATTGTCAGACATGGGCCCAGTCGGCCCTCAATGGCGCCCGTGCATTCAAGCTATTGCCTTCACTGCATAGCTCTTTTTCCAACAGCCCACTAACACTGCTCTATTTACTCACCAATTTATCAGCTTTCGCCTCCAATGCGCATCTACCCCTTCCCACCCAAATCATCGGTGAACAAAACTGCGGCTACTACAACCACTGTACGACGAGCACCTGGTTATTACAGCTGATAATGATGATGATGATGATGACGATACAAACAACCCCCCAACAGTGGACACTCATACTGCTCCTTCTGGCTACCTTTGCCAGAGCTCGTGAATGTGAAATCCGTTCGTTTTTTTGCCAGGAGAGCAAAAATTATCTGCTCCACCAAAGCAGAACACATTTCTTTTCCAAGCTTTTAAAACCAGAATGTCAGTTCACTCGTTCTTTCCAATCTAGTGAAGTTTACCTTCCACCTGCTGTTGTGGACGACGCTCCAAACTTTGAAAATCTTCCACTCTGTGGTGATTAGGATGACCTATCGCAGTTGAATTGCAGCCATTAGAGTAGGTCACCTGATTAAAACAAATTTTATGACAAGTTAAAGTCTATAAGGGGAAATTGGGTATAACAAGAAACCGCTAGATAGTGCCAACATAAGTATCGCTTGGGGAATCGATATTTTCCCATAAAGTCAGGATGAAATCTGGTAGAAGGTAGAGCTTCCGGGATAGACCAGGAAAATACTACTGCAAGTATTCAACGAGTAAACTCATTCGCATACCAACTGGATTTTCACGGGAGACTCAGCCGAAACTCTCGTCTATGATACTCTTCAACTGAATGTGCTGCACCAAGGCCGCCTCGTGTTTCAGTTGGTACGATACTCGAGACATCGCAGTATATTTCCATAAACGAAACTACTCATGCGGTTGCTGAAACGTCTACGACTGCCCACGACCGGTTTCACCCTTCTTGGGACTCATCAAGTTAGCGCAGTCAACCTTATGTTCTACTCGAACCCAAATTAGACTGATTTCGACGAGAGATTCATTTGAGTCTCTCGTGGAACCCAAACTGATTTGCAATTGGGTGTATTTCTCGAAAACAGTCCAATTCGAGTTCAATTAGAACATGAGTTTGACGGAAACGCAGGGACTGCGCCTACCTAATGAGTCCTAAGATGGACGAAACCGGTCGTGGGCTGCCGAAACGCTTTCAGCAACCTTGTGAGTAGTCTCCTTTATACCTTCTTGCGGTTCATCAGGTAGGCGCAGTCTCCGAGTTTCCATCAAGCGAATCAAACAATACAAGCGAGAATGTGCCTACCCGATGGGTCCCAAAAAGGGCGAAACCGGTCGTCGGCTGTTGAAGAGACTTCGGCAACCCTGTGAGTAGTTTCCCTTGTGGAGAAACACCTTTTACAGTGAATCAGGTGAGTATTTTGCTGCTTTTGAGATGCAGCGTTTACAAGTTCCAGGTTGACCTCAGATGCGAATCAAGGATGCATGAGAGTGAGTAAAAACCTCTGACAAGATCCAAATCAGTGATCACTTAAACTGTTTCGAGACAATGAAAAACAGAGGAAATACAGGGGAGCATGCGCCAACTCTACATAAAAGTTTTTACTACACCAAGTCTCAGTAAATACTATATTCAAGATAGACAACTCTACACAGACGAGAACGTTTGATTGGTTCCGGGAAGTTTGGTGACCCTGCCTCTTTCAGAAGAGACATTCCGGCAAAAAGCAACCGTCGTTGGTCGGTGCCTTTTTGATGATTCCTCTGTAGGGAAGAACAAATCATACTGAGTATATCTCAGTCAGGTCCAATGAAATAGGTTATTGATTAGGACGGTACGGTAATGTAAGTGAGAATGCTGCCCAACTGAAACTGTTCAAGAAGCAGAGGCGGAACGCCGACGCTTGGTTTTGTGTTGGACAAGCAGAGCAGATTCATTTCGGTTCATTCTCCGAAAACATTCTCACCTGGGTATGTCTGGGTAGTAGGGGTGCACACCTAATTACTGGATGGTCCACGATTCGAATCAACCTATGGCATCTTGACTTGGAAAACTTGGCGGTATCTTCGTCTTTGGGTTTCCTTCGGGTGACGCGATAGTTGGACACCAAAAATCTGCTACACACGTAGAGTTGCTTGTATTGTCTTTGTTCCAACAAAAGCCAAGGCCTTGAAATGCCCCTCAAGCCTAATGCTCCAAAATAAACTTCAGTTTACTGCTGGCTTCAACTAACGTTGACTTCTAGAGGCTTGTTTATTCCGGAAGCACATCAGAACAAAAAGGGGAACATCCATGAAAGAACTTTGACAAACTAGACTTGTGGCAAACCTGAAGTTTTCCATTCTCGTCCCTTCCCTCTCCTCCTTTATTCCAGGGCCTCCTTCTCGTGTTTGATGGCCACGAAGAGTACATCCAGGTTTATGACATACAAACGCAAGAATGGAAACCTACTGCCGAGGAACGCGACAATCAGCAGCCCGATACCGCTAGGCAAAACATGGTCCCAGACTTGCCGGAAAAGCGAGAGGGCTGTGCAGCGGTTGTGTTCAACGGGTTGGTCTACGTTCTGGGTGGCCGCACACCAGGAATCACATTTTCCGTGCTCATTTTGGATCCGGTTCAACAGAGCTGGAAAGACGGTCCTCCGATGGACACCCCGCGGTGGTGTCTTGGGGCGGCTGTGCTCGGAGGCAAGATATACGCAGTTGGAGGCAGTGATCCCTTCGGTGAGCAAAGTTCTTCATCCGCCCGAGTCTAAAGGCTTGGAGTTTTACTCATCCAAGTTCCTATCGATTTGTCTGCAGTTGAACATAGTTTTGTCACGTGCGTTGTTCTACCACGAAGAGAATTTCTTCAACTGACCACAGTTTCAAGAACTCGTTCGCCATTGTCCACCGGTATATGGGTCCGTTATTGTCGTGGAAATCATTCATCATGTCTACAGAACCGTTTGAATGCTCTATTTCAACTGGGTCATTTGGTTTTAGTTTACACCAGATTTTTAACCAAGAGTGGAGGTGCAGCCTTCTACTGAAAAGTTGTCAGTAGTCGAAAATGGTCGCAACCCCCCTCCATTACTTTACACGGCTGCATCATTTCAGCTTTGTTGAGAGAGAGAGAGAGATGAAAGCAAATAACCTGCCATTATGGTGTTCCAAATTAAGACATGAGCACTGTTCACCGTTTGACATCTGAAATGCAACATCTGACAGTGTCGCTATAACGCAGTGATGTATAACGGGCAAATGTCAACATGGAACTGGGGAATTACCACTGCCAGACTACTACTCGTCAGTGTCTTTAAATTCATCGCAACATTGTGTTGCAGCTAACGCAGTATTATCTGCGGAAACTAACCAGACAAACCATCAAACCAGTTTGGTTCGTCTTGCCAAGTATTTCCGAACCAAAGAAGGGTTCAAATGTGTCTTGATCTTCTATCGTTCGATCGTTTATGCCAAAAAGTCTTTTCAGCTTATTACACGTGGTATTTTTTCGATTCTTTGTGTAGACGCGTTTGCGTTCACTCATTAACTTCGGTACGCCCACGCACACATATGCGACATTTGACTCAGCTTGATTATCACTCACTTTTGAACTCCGCTGATAATTGATCATTGCTCAGGATCACTTTATTGATTTTCGCCGGTTGTAGGGACACCTCTGAGTCAGCCACCTGCAGTCCGCAGCCCGCTGGTACACTGATCTTAAGTCATCTATAAAGGTACCTTTATCGAAAACTCCATCTTCTTCTTGAAAATTTGAGAGTCTACCAGATCATAGGATGTCTTCCAGCATCCACCCGCTTGATTGCATTATTATCAGTCAATCAAATCCAACTTTATTCACTTGCTGAGTCTCGATCCAAGAAGAACTTCACAGCGGATTGTTCACGCATAACTGCCGCAACAGAAGACTACCGGGTGTCCCTCTCACCTAAGGCACCCCAGCAACCAGGCCAGTTTCTTAAGTAACAGGTTTCTTATTGACTTTCAACAGTTTACTTTTATAGACGTAACACACTACTCATTTGGTTGCTGAGACCTCTTGGATCGCCCACCACCGGTTCTGCCCTCATTGTGGTTCAGTAGCTGGGCGCAGTCCCAGAGTTTACGTCAAACCCATGTTCTTCTTGAAACCAACAATATGCAAAACTGGGCTCATACACTCATCTGCATACCAGTTTGGGAGAAGAACACCATAAACGAGAGATTCGTCTGATTTCCGGGTGGGTCACCCGTGAATACCAAATTGGTACGCCTTTGTTTACGTAGCCTACCAGCACAAAAATCGTAATTGTATAGCCCAAATAATTGTCTATATTGTTGGTAATGTGGTGGAACTTGAGCGATTTTAATGAAGAGTTTGTCCTGTAAATGCATCCAATCTACGCTGAAAAGCCGGGAAGCGCTGCACACCTGTACCATTTCTATTGGGAATCATCGCACAATGCATCTCACGAAACCCAAGGTTTCCAACTCCCGGTCTCCTCTTCACTGTACTAACAATCTGTAAGTAGTTCAGAGGAAGAATAAAATTCACTCGATGCGTGAGACGTCCATCTGAGAAGTCGTCAGCCGAAGAATCACTTAATACACGTGACCATGTGATATGTATTCCGCGATTGAAGGATAAGTTGAGCTTTATTCTGTCCATGTTCGAATTAATCCCGGAGTTGATCAGTTACTCGTTGCCGAACCGCCAATTGTTCAAACTCGGTTTTCTCGGAGAACCGACCGTGCTTATGACCAATTTTTCGACGGGTAATCGGTAATTTTGAGCTCGAGATAGATCAGTGGTTAAGGTGAGAATCAACTAACCGGGTGATCCATGGTTCTAACGAAAACCCGGTATCTCCGGTTTTGGCAACCGAACAGTGTCCCAGCTCTCGGGCTCCCTTCGGGTGGCACGTCAGCTAGGCAACGACGGAAGGTCAGGGCTGAACGATAATATTAGGTGAGAACTTGAATATACTGGAATGGCTCTATCTTCACCAGTGGTTCTTCAATATGCATTTACTCGAAATATGACATGGTAATGTGGTCTTGCCGGCAGTTTCCGGTCTGTTAGTTTATGGGGAAATTAACCTGATTCGTCTTAAATTTGAAGCAAGCTCCGCCTTGAACAGCGTTGAAGTCCTGGATCCATCCTCTGACTGTTGGCTCCCTATAAGTCCGATGTCTTGCTGCCGATCGTCGTTGGGCGTCGCAACAGTGCGTGGCAAACTGTACGCTGTCGGTGGATACAATACCAGTGGTCCCATTTGGACTGTAAATTGCTTGTCTTCTGCTGAGAGCTACGATCCCGAGACGGACACCTGGACAGCGATTGCCTCCATGAATTTTCCGTAAGTAGACCAGAGTCATGTTCTTCCCGATTCACTGTACATCTTGAGTGAACAGGTAGGATGTGTCATCTTCATTCGTCTCCAACCGCTCAGAAGAGGTTAAAATCAAATTTATGTTCGTACTTTGATGAATTTTGTTTCCTTCTTGTATAACTGGTGTCGTGATATAGCCTCAGACGACAGCGGAGACTGAGTTAGGCTAAACCAACACATCTGTTTATGCCCAAATCATCTTGGATGGCTATGGGAACCTATGGTTGATTTCATCATCGTGCAAAAAGTACGAATCCGATATATCAAAAAGCCAAGATTCAAGTAGATGGTCGTCGAAACGGACTACTGACAAGACAGAATCATTCCAAGCTTATTACTTCGCGTCGTCCGTGATACTCTTTGGAAGACCAATAGTTTGGGTTCACTTTGTTTGTCTACATTCCCAGGTCAGTTTAAAAATCGTTTGAAATTCCCGGTATTTTCAACAAGGATAAACAGATAGACCTCAGTGTATGTTAGGAATCTCGCCATCAGGTTAGTTGATTAAAACAGGCGTAAATATTGAAACATGCGATATGGTTCAGTGATTAGAGCTCAGCTTTACTGGTCAAAAGGTTCTTGGTTCGAATACGACACCTCCTCTCGACTCTGGTCAAAAGGTTCTTGGTTCGAATACGACACCTGCCTCTCGACTTCCCCTGCCTAGACTTGGGCAGCTGGGCAGTATCCGAGCCCTCGTGCTTCCTTCGGGTGGCATGACAGCTAGACACCGAAAAGGTACTACGGTTGAACGACTATCTCTGTTTAATGAAACACGCGGGGAAGTTTAGAGGACGTTGAGGCACGAACGATCGTTTGTCTGCGCCCCAACGTTGCATCTGATCGGATGCTTTGAGGGGTCCTAGAGGGCCGTTGAGTGCCTAAACCGGCCGGTTTTTGTCACAAGACCACGGAAACTCATAGTGGCATGAATCGTTTTTGACGGTACAGCACCCGATACCACTGCCTCGGCATCAAGTTGTCTCCTATGTGAAGCCACACGCAATGCCAGTTTTACGGTTTTGGATAACGAATTTAATGGAGAGAATTTTGCGTGAGAAGTAAAACAGGAGCTTTTGACTCAAATGTTTCCTCCCAATTAGTCTCCCGCATGAGGCTTTTTGTTTACCAATTTTCAGACGCTATGGTTTGAGGGCTTGTGAACTGAATGGCCGGCTGTATGCGGTGGGTGGTGCCCCTGATCTTGTGCAGACGCTTAATTTGGTTGAAGTTTACAACTTGGACACGAATTCTTGGCATCGTGCGGCTGCAATGATAGAAAATCGTAGCCAGTTCGGTAAGTCTGTGCGTAGAATGACTGTTAATGTGTTCAAGCAATGAATCAGTTTTGCCTGAAAGAAACGTTTGGAACTGTCCAATGGGGGGACAAATTTGAAGATTGCGTTGGCTAACCCAGCTGTTGCATTCTGTGGCATCATGGGAGACAAGAGTGTTTTCGCATTCGAGTCAGCGACTCTCTTAAGGACGTAGGTACCGTCTGTGGAGATTCTTATCATCTCAAATCCTCAAGGTAAACATACTACTAGTGTGCCAATATTAGCGAACGTTTCCTAGTCAGTGTTTTGCCTTTAGATCACTCAAAGAGACCTGGACTAGATGGGAGGTTATCGCTTTTGCTGTCCTGCAACAGAATAAGCCTCATGTCTTTCTTTTTGTACGTTGTGGCATTTTCTTTGACTCACTGAAGCCGTATTTCAACTGCCGGTTAGATAAGCAATCGTCTCTCATAGGTAGTGCATCTGACGGCGCTGTCTGGCCTCAATTTATTTCATTATTTAGGAAATTTTGCTGTCACTGAGACGACCGAGGATGCAGCGCGTGGGACCGAAATTTCATTCGAGCATTTGTCATTCGACCGAGGACCAGGTGTGCTCCAATAAAATAGCTCTTTCCCCTTCTTGGAACATACGTCACTCCTGTAAAATCAATTTGTTTCCCAGACAGTCAGTAAATCGAAACCAACATAGCGATGCTCATCTCCCGGGTTTCGAAATGTAAATTCAAGAGGAATCACTAGCTACCCATGTAGTTCATTCAGTCTTGAGGTTTTCATGGGGTTCCGCTTGTGTGCAAAGTCAATCAAATTTTGAATTGTATTCTACAGCGGAACTATGACGATGCATAAAACCAGTTGGCTATTTTGCGTTTCATGCGCTGCCGTGACTTGTTCGAATTTTTCTTGTCTCATCAAGAAAGGAACTTTCTGTCGAGAGAGAAATTTTGGCTAGAAGAAACCTAAAACATAGGCTTCCGTGGAAGCTCAAAGGAAATCCATGAAAACACACTCGTGGTCGATTAATCGAAGCTCCAAAATCCGTTTTGGAGATAAACGCTTCTCTAGCGGAGTTGCTGAAAACGGTTTCGTCGGTCACAGCTAAACGTTTGAGCCAAGTGCCTTGGTAAACCGAGCGGTCCGGTTCTCGGCCCGCACTGACGCTACAAATGACTTCGTGGGATCTCCGTCCCGTAGATAAAATCAGGTTAGGTCATGCGTAACTACATAATGCCAGGTTGATGCAAGCAGGGTTCGGCCTATGAGTAATGCAGCCTGCGGCATGTCGGAAGCCGACACCCACCATTTGGTATAACTACTGGGTTGTTCCAATCCGTTTCGGTAAGGCCCCACCCTAAGGCTCTGGATATCCAGTGGCATTTAACCAAAAACGGCACAAGAAGGGACTTTCTGTGCGCCAGTTGGCCCTATCTATGTGCCTAAGGTGCATTTCGCCTGCAATGCGTCCCCCAGACAATCTTTGATGTACTCTGTGAGCGTCGACTGTTGAGTTTTGTTCACTGCCATAATTTAAAGCAGCCCAAGGTGACTCTCCATGTTGGTTGAAAGCGGTTATTCGCTGCCATTCCCGGTTCACTTTGTGGGTATTGTATATTATTTTATTGCACTGTTGGGACTCGTCATTATCATAGACAGCATGACATCAGTGTTCATCACCGATGCTTCGCTGCCGTACAACCATTATTTATTTGAAAGCCTTATTGTAAAGAAATGAATAAAGTTGTACAGAGATGGGACTTAGTGCTAGCTTACCACAATCATTCCGTGGCGCCTACATCTCTAGACACTCATTCAAGCAACCTGGATAGAAACTGACAACAAAATTGCTACTCACATTGGTTGGCAGTTATATCTTGCAGTGTCTTCAACCAGGAGCAGTGAAGATCACGTGATCCCCATCCTGGAAGGCGAGTAGCACCGACAGAACCCCTAGCGTTTCGTGATTTCTTCAATACCGCTCCATGTTAGGAGTTGGCTACCTCTCGGCTTCTGTCGCTCCAAAATGGGCATAGCAAACAGCACTCTCTTTGGCAACCGATGGTTAAGCATACGCGACACATGCGAAATTCGTGTATCCATTTTCCAGTGACCCACTGCAATACTCCGGAAAGTCAAGACACAATACCGTTTGAGTCGTTTTGAACAAATGCTGTCAGCCAACTACCGTTTCAGTAATTTTGAAGAAAACGGCCGCATTTACAGCCGTGTTTGTTACAAGACTGTCAACTTCCTGACCTTGAAAAATATACCGCAGTTCAGAACCCTTCCGTGAAGGATGACCCGAGCGAGCAGCGAACCCAAACAACATAACTAGTAATAAGACCAACAGTAATTTTCGTACTGCTGTAGCATGATGTCGGTGCGTAGCTACCCCCAATGGAAGTACGAGGGCTAAGCCACCACGACATTTTTTGGGACTTGGTAGGAGCTGCGTTCACAAGACAGACCTTTCGGTTCGTAAGTTTGTGGCTTAGTTGCTGAACTACCTTGAGTTCTCGCTTAGCCAGTGACATGTGGTCTACCCGTTTGCAAGAGGATCAACACATCAGCCATGCTTTTCTCGGTCGGATTCATTATTGCAATCATTCTGAAGAAATTAATGAGATCTTCTTGGATTCGAAGCTGCGTTATTTTCATGAATGAACGTGCGGTGCACGTAGTTTGTCGAGTCTAGCACCTCATCCAGGGAAGTTTAGTTTCTGTTTGATGCAGAACTCATCAAAGACGTGTACGGGAAAAGACCTTGTCGATCACCATTGCACGAATAACTTGGATGCATTCTCTTCTTTTTGCACTTTTTTTCAAGGTCTTGCGGTGAATGAGGGCTTTCTGTATGCGATCGGTGGATATGATGGGAAGGCTTCCCTTGGAAGTATTGAGTGCTACGATGCATCGAACAATAAGTGGTCACTGTTGCCACAGTGTGCACTGCACGTTACTCATCCCATTTCTGCAGTGTTTATTGACCCTGTAACTGCAAATAAAAACTGATGTCAACTTAGTTTTTTATAATCATCTCTCAAGCAAAGGAAAATGGTTGATTTCCGTTGTAAAATGTTTTCGCCGCGGCCTAGACGCACACCCTAAATTTCTTTGAAACCGTGGTTTGAAAAAGGAAAATTTTAACATGATGTTTAAGCATCAGATGGTAATTATTCGGGCCCTTAAGATCCCCCCAAGCAGCCGCGGTTTTAGAAGAAGTTGTTTAAACGTACTCGGAGCCCACTATTCGCGCGGAATTCGCATTTTAATGGCTACCGGTGGCTTGGAGCATTTTTGCTATAAAACGGTTGGAAATTTTGTGAAAAATTTTGTCCCGCGCGCTACAAATTCGCAGTACCCGCGTAATTTCATTAAAACATCGTGTCCTACTGTTGTGTACCTGGCGCCCTCTGACTTATCACTGAACAGAAAGTTGTAGGAATACTGGTCGTATCAAGGAAACGGTTGCACTTCGGACAAAAGTTCGTCCTACATCTGGCGTTATTGAACACGTCTGGGTTATCCACTAGAATAGTTTTGTTGTGGAGATAAAAATCCGGTAGGAATTGCATTGCATTCTGGAAGAGGTCACTTTGATCATAAAAAGCAAGTGAGCTGATCAGACTGGATGTCGAATAATCGAGCAACTGAACTGCTTTTTATTTGGGGAAAGGGCATGGCAACTACTAGTCTTGTACTCCCGTTTGGCTGTTTTCCTTGAAATCATGGAATTCTTTTAGCATAGGTTCAAACACCACACACCTTTATTGATTTAGCCCATACATCTGAAGTATATGACTTTCAGGTTCCGATGCAGATTGGCTGCCTTCGTGCAAACGCTCAATTCAAAAGCTTTGCTCTGCTGGTTTGTAGCTATTCTCTGCATTCTGGCCGGAATATTCATCAAGAAAAGTTTTTTCTCTCACACATTTACAGTATCTTCAGCCACTCAGTATGCATTAATCAATAGCAAGACCAGACAAATGGTGTTGGTTGCTTAATGATTCGTTTGTTGGTCTGCTGTTCCGTGGCATTCGCCCAACTAGCGCGCCATTTTCGTTGCTTTTAAAACTTATCCAGATAAGCGCAGCTCAGCAGCTTAACCCAGCAACTCCTTTAATTACAGCTTCCTCTTAGTGTTTAACTCTGTTCACTTATCCCCAAAGAAATGCGGTTCAGTTCACTTCAGCTACTCGCAAGAGTTTATGTTTTGGAATCCATTTCAGCAGACCCTACCATACATGTTTGTGCGTGTGTGACGTGGAGCACGACCAGTAGACTCATCCCCAGTGATAACCGAACATGGATTCAGCGCGTCGGATGCTGAATGGAGCTAGGCAGAAATTTTCCGGTCGGTTTATCTGGTCTGGTATAAATATCGCTCAGCTTTGGTGCCCAGCTGCCATGACACCCGAAAGGGTCACGGGGGCTAGGATACCGCCAGGTTGCCTAAGTCCAGACAGAGGAAGTCCAGATGCAGAGGTCGGGTTCGAGCCACGGACTTTCTGGTCATCCAATTTGCGCTCTAATCACTTGAGCCATCTCGTGATTTTTTTCGTACAAGTCTAACTTGTATCTTCATATTAGAATTCAAAGTCATCTACGTGCTATCAGAAAAAACGGAATAGTCACTCCGAAACTCTGGATCATTGATGCACATATGCCACACATTTTCGAGTTCGTGGAAAGCAGTGACAGCTTGAACCGACTGAAGTTTTACTTCTAGATACAGAAAACCTGTTTGTATGTTTTTTCAAGATTGCCTCACTGAACCAGCACCTAAAACTCGATAAATTGAAGAGTACAAAGCTTTTTTGAAGTGCACAGTGCCGTCGTTCAAAGCGCAACAGTGCGTTTCAAATCGATTCGGGCAAGCGCTTAGCAGCCAACAGCCAAAGCTGATATCTGACATAATATATACATATATATGTATAAATAGTATACATAATGTTATATAANATCGCTACGATATTCGGGAAATCGCGATATATATATATATATATGCATATGTATATATGTATATATAACGCATAGTGTATATGCACATATATATATATATATAAACGGGAGATTCAGCTGGTTACCAGGTTAGTCTCCCGCAAAAACAAAATAGTTTGCAAATGAGTGTATATTCGCTGATTTCGTGCAACCTGGTTTCAAGTAGAACGTACCGTTGACGAAAACCCGACGACTGTACCCACCTGCTTAGTTCCAAAAGGGGCAAAACCGGTCGTGGACTGTCGACGGATTTTCAGCAACCTTATGAGTAGTACATTACAAGAACAGAGTGTGATATAATTTTTTGGGATATGCTGGATATACCACCATTTTCCGCGAGCAATCGCCTCAGCTCCTAAGAAATTTACACAAAACCCATTTGGGTGAACGGCAAACCGGCAGTGTCAGTAACATGAAAAGCTACTACTGCCATAAAACAAGTCACTTTGAATGGTAGAGTTCCTTGCGTCCGAATTAAGCCGTTTGCAATGACCTTGCTACCTGCAACGGCAGAAAAGAAAGGAAGATCATAGGGTGGCTTACACATATGAACAGCGAACTTCGTGGTCTATGTAGCCGGGTCATGAGCGCTGCTTGCCCCTGGTTTTCACATTAAATTTTATGCCGTCGACCTGCGGGGTGTCACATCGAGGATATGTGCAAACAAATGCACCATATCAACCCTTTATTACCTGGGAAAATTATTAGAAGGTGATTGGGTGATCCTCGATCTTTCCGTAAATCTTGGTCATTAGTCCATGGGTTTGTTACCTCTTTCGGTAGCTTACAGAAGATCAGATCGTTCTAAATCCCAAAATACCAGAAAACATGTGCGTTAGTTTTGTCTGGAGTCTGTACCGGTGAAGCTTGCGCGTAGTGAATAACAAAATGTGTTAGGGGCGACAACGGAATCTTTGAATGCTTTAAATTTAAGACTGTTGTTTCCAGTGTCATTCTTGAAAGCATCATGGATAATCTATACAGCAACCAAGCAATTGGTATGGAGTAGAAAACCAAGTAGGCAGCCGATGTGAATATCGAAGCACCATAATCGTCGGGAGGACCTTGGTATGGAAAGTAACCGTGGCTGCTATTGCAAGCTCAATAAGTGAGGAAAAAGACTATCAGCTACTGGATTACAGTAACCTGCATCATAAACAGTCGTAAAAACTACTCATAAGGTTGCTGAAAGCATTTGGATAACCCATCGACACTTTCCCCCATCTTGGGTATGCCTCATCAGGTGGGTGCATTTTCCGAGTTTCCGTCAAACTCACATTCAGATTGAACCAAAATTGGACTAAATGAAGCTGTCCACCACAAACGAGGGATTTATCTGTACTCAGTTATGTCGCTGACAAAACCGATTTCGTATGCCCAAAGGCAAATCCAACTTGTCGGACAGGTCTTAAAAATTGAGAGCGGTTTACATCAGACGCCGCTTGCCTAAAAAGCTTACAACCAGCTGTGCCTGCGGGCCCGCCTTTTTTATTCTTGGCATGCCACAAGCTTGCATGCATGCTTGCAACAAGTAATCCTGACCGAAATATAGGCAGCCCGTGCTCAGAGCATTGGCGCCTACAACTGTGGTGCTTTCTGGCAAGGAAGTTTTTGAAATCACCCGCGGCACAATGGGGATTTGGTAAGAGGAATGGTGTTACATGAAGTGGGAATAACCAGGCTCATATTCACTGTTGAGCAAGGTGCATCTAGCACTGTGGATGGAGTAGTTATTGCATGGAGGGAAATTCTGAATCCATGGCAGGAAGTGGGGCATGAAATTTGGAACGGAATTGAGAGGGTTTTTAAGAAAGGGGCATGCATTTGAGAGGAGAACTGTCGACCGTGAACGCTTCGGTACTATTGGGGTTAGTGGCCGCCTAGCTCGAGGACATGGTACAGAAGTTAATGGATGTCTAGAAAAGGATATCGGACGATATGGCTGACCAGGTGGAAAAACAGGGATGAACAATTGAGACACGTTGAGGGAATAGGAGATTGGAATCCAGGGTCCATCGACATCTTAGAAGACAAATACGGGAGTTGTTGCACTGTGGTGTTGTATGAAACATTGATGTGGGCAGGAATATGTCTGTTTATGGGTCAATAAGATAGCTTAAACGTTGCAGCCCCCATTGGGTTGTCAACGTTGGCCATGTGTTCGGATAGTTTGGATGCAGCTGTGGGAGTGAAGGCGTGTGGCCATACGATACCCTAAACGGTGAGTTAGAGGAAAGAAAAAAACGCACACGACAAACGTGTCCCAAAGTGGCCTGAAACCGTTCTGTGTGTGAGGTGTTTCCGAAGTGTAGAATATTTTTTGGCCATTATCGAAAGTAAGGATCACAAAAGGGTCGGTAAAAAACGCGAGGGAGGGAGCCAAGAATCAGTTTGAATGAAAGGAGTCCTCCATTGATAAGAATGATGGAGCGATATTGTTGTCTATCACACCAGGCTCTCAAAAGGTCTCATAACCGGCGGAGCACGTATATGTGGGCCAAGTGGACACAATGGGCAACATGTATGAGTAGCACTGGACAAAGTTATGGGAAGTCAGGGCTATCGTGGGTTGTTGAGGATTTATTAAGAAAAATAACAATAATGTTTATCCCACGCTTGTGTGTGGCACACCGTCCGGCATGAT